AGAAAGGGTCAAGAATATACAACCTCCTTGACAAACTTCCTGTAAAATTTTTCCTCACGACCGTGGACATCCGGGAACAAAGTCTTTATGGCGACAGCCATTTTATTACGCTCCATCTTTGCCTTATATACTACTCCATAGGCTCCGCCAGCAATAGGTATATGGCCTATAGTAATGTCGCTTTCTGAATAACAGCGGATAGAACCCTCTTCAACACTTTTGTCTATCCACTCCTTATTATACACATTATTAGACTTTTCCCGCTGATATCCGATTATTTGAGATTGCAAAAATTGCTCGTTGGTTTCCATCTGAGAAGATTTATGTGGAAACCTGTTTCCTAATTGACCAAAGTTGCTTTGTAGTGGAGGCTCTTGGTGGATGTTTCCTTGTGACTGGGACGGATGTTGAATAATCTCCGATGGTGAGTAGACCTGTCATGCAAAGCGTGAGCTTGGTACGGGTTTGTTTCATAGTAATAGCAATCTAATTAGGCAAACCTGTGAGTAATACATCGGTTGCTCAATCTGAGAAAATCCAAGCGTATTTGACACCGAGTTTTGTCGTCCTAATTCATGTTCAAATTCCATCGGCATGAATAATTCGTTTGATGTTTGTTCCCCATGCTGCCTCGAATGCGACAACCATTGCTGTTGACGCTGCTGATGCATAAACAGGTTTTGCTGCCAAGTGAACAGAGTGTTGTTATGTCGCTGAACAGAACTCGTAAGTAGTTTTCATGCAAAATCAGATTCCAATTCAATATATACCTGCGTCCGTTCTCTTGATAATTCCGAAATAGGATACGTTGGCAGACTGGTGGGTAATTGTAAAAAGCTAGGCGATGGTTGATATTGCTGTGACTGTTGCAATTCATGCTGCGAGTTCATCAGAACATCTCGATATAATGGACGCTGATTTGAGCCATCCGGATATTCCGGCTGCGTTGATTGATAAGCTGGATATTGTAAAGCCATCTGGCGGTTAGGATTAGACAAAATGTAGCGGTGCTGTTGTTGCTGCATCAATTCTTCTTGCTGCTGCTGATGATTCCATGCTTGGCTCTGAAAAGGTTGTTGCGACATTTGTAGGTTTACTACAAGGCCTAAATTATATCGGATGATTGTTAGAATTTATCCGACATGTTACACGGCGAAAATATTTCCTTTTTCACCCCCCAAGCTGTTCTATTTGTCGGATTAGAAAAGAAAATCGCCGTGTAACATGTATCGGTATGCTAATACTAATCGAAATGTACTACTATATACAGTCAACCATCTTTATAGTCACCTCCCTCTATAAGTACATCATATAAAACCCTTTTTATAAGCACACCATGTTTGAGAACGAATTGCTTATAAAGAGGTTGTGACTATATAATTTTTTCCATAAGTTCAATAGCGCATTTTCAACAAGAGTTGCATTGTTCCTAACAATGGGACTATAGAGAGTATGTCGGCTATCACTGTCAAGCAAATATTACTTTAATTAGCGCACAAACGAAAAAGAATTATGCAAATGAAGGTTAATAAACCAAACTTGTGAGGTGCAGAATTGGCTAAAGTATATGAGATATACTCAAACGTTTTGAATTACTGTGATTACTTGCATAAAAGCATTGCCAAGAAGAAAAATAATATTTCGTTGGACACGCCTTATCTATTTATTAAATTAGAAAAAAAATAATGCTTCTCTGTATTACAGATTTCACAAAGTGTATGCGGTTCGTAAAGCATTCCTGCGTCAAACACTATTATTTACACAACTATTTTAGGATCCGGTCACCGTTTTAGAACAAGAATTATATGCTACTGTAAAACACAATTATTGATACTATATATTTAGAATTATTATTAAATAGTTAGTTAACGGAACGGTAGAAGTTATAAAAATATGCAATAATTAGAAAGAAAAAAATCCTGATATAGCTTGCTAGCAAACATCATCTTCAGTTTGTCGTATTACGGTCGGGAATTAAATGGGGGTTTTGGGAGAGCGATTTATCTTTTCGTGTAGGTGTGTTCGCCGACCGGGGGAT